TTTTTCAGGCAAGGACTTTACTTTTTTGCTGAGAAGGGACTTTTGTGGGGGATTTTTCTTTGAAGTCCATCATTTTGTTCAAAGCTCCTACATAAGCTTTGACGCTCGACACCACAATGTCCATTCCTGCTCCGGTTCCACTGCCAAAGACGATACAGCACGTTCAGTGTCGTATAACTTCTACTACTCAAGCAAGAAATCAACAATGCCGGCTAAACTGATCCGGTTTGAATAATATTAGGATTTTACCTGAAGGTCCTTTCAACTTCTTCACCGGTTATTGCATTTGTAGACGTGTAATTGTTGTTTCCGCGGATGAGAACTCGTGTGGTGGCGATGGCATCAATGCCTTCTGTTACTGAGTTCATCGAGTACTCAAGCAGAGTCGTCGGTTCCTTAAGTTGGAAACAAAAAACAGTGTGTTTTAACTTTTAATTGTCTGTATAGATGAGAGAGAGTCTCAGTTGTATGTATATAAGGTTACCTTTACAATAAGGTTGACTGCCTTGTAAGCTGAATCAACAGGCCCAGTTCCCATAGAACAAGCGACATGCTCTACGCCATCAGCTCCAGCAAGTTTAACAGTTGCTGTTGAAAGCCCCAGAGTCCCACAAGTTATCTGCATTGCCACTTTGGGTTGTAAAATGAGAAAATGGCTAAAGAACATGAACAAGCATAAGCAAGAACTTCTTGGTCCCAATTTGCACCTGAATGTCCACGAGTTTCCACACGGCTTCTGGCTGGAAAACTTCATCAGATACTAAAGCTATTATGTCCGCATCGGTAACTCTCTGGATCAGCAAGAAAACGTATACGATCAGGACGCATTACATGAATCCTCAAGAGCAGTAGAATAAATAACATGATAAGTAGAAGAAACTACCTTTTTCTGCTCGGCCACACTTTTGAAACGCCAGAAAATGGTACTTAGCTGTTCATCATCCAATTCATAACCAAGCTGGAAAACATAGAAAAGATGATAGGACGTTAGTGTCTCACACAAAGATGGCAATAACGAGTATGTGTCTGTGTATGGATAAGATTGATGTGTACCTCAGTCAAACGGCCTTTCAGTGCATGACGCCCACTGCGTAATTTTATATCCGAAGCGAAAGCAGAAACCAACAGTTAGACTACAATTTTCAAACACATATGTAGTGTACACTAGCTTACATATGTATATTGTTAAGAAATATGGATGCCTGATATCTTGAGATACTCAACAGGCAAATTATCCACTAACTATAAAGTATATCCACCAATTATTGGATTGGTGTATCTGAACAAGACAGACAAATTTGGAGCATACATGCAAAACAGACCAATCAAGTAAAACTTCCATACCTAAGCTTCCCCAAGACAATGCCAGCATCATGTGATCGTTCAAGCCCAATCTCTTCGGGGCATATAATTTCATATGTACCCTTGTGTTTCAGCATTCCATCCTAAAACAAGAATGAATAGTCATTAAGCGCAACTACGGAAAAAATAAACATGAAGAATGTGCAAGTCAAAAAACTTTAGAGCTTAATTGTTTATCAATTAATCCTGTTCATAGTCAGTCAATAGAGTTGAATTTAAGGAAGGAAACATACGCGTATTAAATTATTAAGCAAAAGGCTACAGTCTACAGGAAAAGTCATACTTATGCAAAGTGGAATAAAAATCAGATAATGAAACAAATGTTTCTCAAAAGAGTATCTTTGTCACAGAAATAATCAAAACACGTATAAGACAGATTCATTTTTTTTTATCAACTGACCTGATGAATACCACTTTCATGCGCAAAGGCATTCGCTCCCACAATAGCCTTATGAGGCTGTGTCTGCATTCCAGTGTACTCTTCAACCTGAGAAAACAAGCCACCAGTTATGAGACACCTTACGATCTACAAACTCTTTAGAAAATTAATATTTGTTTTCACAGTGTGACGAATGAAGTTCAAAACTGTACCATCTTGCTTGTCATAACAATGTGCCGAGTATCAATCCCTGTAAAGAGACCTCCTAATACATGATCTCCACGGCATTTTATGGCCATCACAACCTACAATTACACGAAAAATCACCATGGAAGAATTAAAAATCCCATTGCAGCACAAAAAAAGGATTTTAGTGACGAAAAGGTTCACATAATAATGAAAAAATCAGACCTCTTCCAGTGAAGCGTTTCCAGCTCTTTCACCAATTCCATTGATCGTCACCTCCACCTGCCTCGCACCTGAATGTGCCCCCTGAATTCAAAAAGCTCATCACACATTAGTATTACATTAGCTACGTTGTTCTGATTAAGAAAATGAAAAAGGACATACAGATAAAGTATTGGCCGTAGAGAGTCCAAGATCATTCTGACAATGTGTTGAGATGATAACATTCTCGATCCCTGGAGTATTCGCCTTCAAATCAGCAATCAACTGCCCAAACTCACTAGGCAAAGTTATACCAACAGTATCAGGAATATTAAGTGTTGTTGCTCCAGCTTTTATCACTTCCCCAAGAATCTCGTACAGGAACTCTCTCTCTGATCTACACCACAAAAAAAAAGAAAACAAAACAAAAAGCATTCACAATTATCAGAAAAAGACAAAAGACAGAATCTTCGCCGAGGAATCATAATCAAAGAATCCCAAAAGTACGTAAAAATCGAACCTTCCGGCATCTTCAGGACTAAACTCAACGTCCTCGCATCCCAAGCTCCTAGCGAACTTAACCATATTCCTAGCGATCTCGATGACCTGCGCTTTGCTCTTCTTCAGTTTATACTCCAAGTGGATGTCACTGGTGGCGATGAAAGTGTGGATCCTAGGACGTTTGGCGTATCTCACGGCCTCCCAAGCCCTCTCGATATCTTTCTTATTGCATCTCGAGAGTCCACAGATGACAGGGACATAGCCGTTCTCGTCGACGCTGTTGCCGACGGTTTCAGCTATGGTCTTGACCGCTTCGAAATCGTCCTTGGAGGCGGCGGGGAATCCGGCCTCGATGATGTCGACGCCGAGCTTAGCGAGCTGACGAGCGATGTCGAGCTTCTCCTTGGAGGTGAGGGTGGCTCCGGGAGACTGCTCGCCGTCGCGGAGAGTCGTGTCGAAGACGCGGACGTAGTTGGGATCGGAAATGCGGTTGGGGATGTATTCGGGACGGCGGCTGCGGCGGAGGGAGTGAGGTGGAGGATCTGAGACGGAGCAGGAGAGGCGGAAGGATTCGCCGCGGAGGGAGACGGAACGGTGGCGGCTTGGTGAGAAACGGAATGAGAGAGGTGCGGATTTTGAGGAGAAGGCGGGAAGAGAAGGCTTTCCGGTTGTTGGTGGTGACGAGAGAGTAGTGATTCTTAGAAGCGAAGACGCCATTGAAGAAGAAGGTTCAACGAGTCGGCGGCGGCGGCGAAGTTTATGTCACTCTTCTCTTTATTATATAAGAAGTAAATATTATTATTATTCCCTATGTATTTTATTAGTTTGGATCCACTTGAGAATTTCCACTACCACACCTATATAAACGATAATGACAACGTTGCTCACGTGGAAGATGAATCAAGAGAGATTACCAAACTGCTTATTTAGCATCGGAGTCCGGAGAAGAAGATAATATAAACTATTTCACTGTTATTAAAGATAAGTTTGGTGCTACAACATCAAAATGTGTCACAATGGATAAAACCTAACGACAATTCGGCTTAGTCCTTGCGTCGTCTAAATTGTTATTGGGGATGTAAAGTAGGTAGTGGCACAGATTTGAACTGAGCTTTAACATATCTCATCACCGATCTTATCTACATTGTGTTTTTCTTTTTTTGTTTGCACAGTTTCAATTGCTTGCATTCGTGTGAAGTGGAGGACATGGACCGATCAAATCCAATTGTATTATCTTGGAATGATACAAAGAGTGTTCGGTCTACTTAGCTACAAAACAAAACCGCAAAAATCTAGACCTGAATAGTCGGACCGGAATAAGATCCGGGACGCATGTGAAGCTCATCGGGTGTGTTGATCTGCACAAGCCAAGCGTATTCGTCTTCTTTCCCTTCCACCACCTTACTTACTTCTTCCAATGCTATAAACAAACATCAAATCCAAAAGAGAATAAACCACCGGTTAAACAAAACAGAGTAACATAAATGTTCTTTTGAAGGAAGAGAAGAGAGTGTTTTGCATACCGAAAGTAGAAAACGGATAGTCCATGTAGTAACTGCAACTCCGGCCAGCACTTTCATCGTAAGAAGGTGTGAGAATGTCGAGCACTGCACACGGAGTCAGTGCGGTGAAACAATGGAGATTGCCTCCAGTCTTAGGGTACAACACCGGTATTTCAGACTGTGGCGTTATCACTTTATCGCTAGCCAGTTTCGCCAATCTTGCTGCTACAAAATAGTTGCAAGAGGTCTTAGTACTTTATCAATCACACAAATGAAACCAAGATGTGGAAAAAGACAATAACCTTGAAGTTTGTCTTGTGTGATAATACATGGAGGTTCGACCCAATCATAAGCTTTAACGTGAAGTGATCCATAGAGGATTTTGCTAAACACAGCCATGTCTGGATGGTCATGCAATGGAATCACTGAAGATGTTGGGAAGCAGAAAATACACATCTGAAGAAGAACCAATAAGCACTTGTTTCTTTTTTGGACTTCAAGTATCAAATCTCAAAGACTACTTACAGTGAAAGTGTCACATTCGTGAATGTCTAAGAATGTAATCGGCTGTGCCCATCTTCCTACTCTGTTGAAACGCGTGACCCCAGAAACTCCATAACCTCGGTCATCGTCTTGAGCTTCCTCTTCAAGCCCAACATCTGCAGGACTAACTGTATCTGCACACAAGAATTGACCAAAAAAAAAAAAATACAAATCACACCTCTGCTTATAAACAAACATTCCCCAAAATCCTAACTTCAACTCTCACCACAATGAGCCCTAAATTACTGATTCTAATAGTCTCTTTTATGTACAATTGATTGATGTAATCCCTAATTTCATTACGTACAGACAGAAGTGAAGAGCTTTACGTACAGACAGAATTGAAGAACACAGGAGAAGCTACATAATCCTCAGAGACTCTGATGATTTCAAAATTCTCAATTGCCCAAATCAAATGAGCCATTCATGAGAATTTCTCAATTTTATCGAAATCCAACAAAACAGCCTAAGAACCTTTAGCTAAATCCTCCTAAACCGCTTCAAATCTATCACTGACTCGATCAAACCCCGACCAAAATTGCGAAAAACGAAGAACATAAACTGTATCGCAGTCTGAGAAAATCGAACAGAGACAAAAGAAGAAGGGAACAAAAATACCCAAAAGAGAGCAGAGTTTTTGGACAGCCATGGAAGCGGGAGAAGGAGCTATCCCAGTGAAAGTCTCCTTGCAGAGGTCGTAGAGCTCTTGCACTTTCGGAGAGTTCTTCGACGCCATGTGAAGGTCCTTGTTCACCAGATTCCACAAAACCTTTTCACCTGCCTTGAACAACCTCGACAACATCTTTTTCCCCCTTTCGAAAGTATTTGTGGTTATTGTTCGAATGTTCTTATCCGGGGAATGATTAAACACAACACATGATATCTCTTGAAAAGGTCTCAATCTCAGATCATTAAGGTTGTTTATTTCTTTCCTTTTTAATAAATGGATTACGTAACAAAAAAAAAAAAAAACAGTGAAATGCAAGTTTTTCTTTTATTTGTCCATTTTACAAATTTTAACAAGTGTGCTTGACCATAGCAGATTTCAGCAGTGAAAATTCTTGTTACATAGAGTTGTGTCAATGTTTCAGCAAGCAAGAACTAAGAGCTGTGCGTCTGGTCTTTTACTAATTTTAGTATAGTCCTAATCACCAGTAGTCTCCACAAGAACAAAACCCATTCTTGAAATGATGAAATATTTTGTTGTCCCTCACAACTATTTCTCTTTTCATGACCTTGGAGATCAACTTCGCTGCATTGTGACAGTCCACACATATCCTTAGGTTCTTGTAAACTCTGAGAGCTGTTCCTTCTGAAGTTTTGATCAACCCATAAGTTATGGCAAGCTTCTCGCTGTGTCCCCTCAACTGTTCAATCTTCTCTTCTTCACTTATATCATGGTGTACTGAATTTGTGTCCGGTCTATATCCCATCTTCCGAATCTCTGTCTCTGTTATACTCCAAAGACTTTTGATTTCCTCCAAATCATCTGAGGAACTTTCACCAACAACAAAGCTAAAAACCTTCCCGTTTAGTTCGATCCAGGAGCATCCAGCATCCTTTCTCAGACTCATCTCCTTCATTCTCTGCCTCACTTTTCTCACACCATCCCATTTCCCTAATCCGGCATATAAGTTGGATAGCAGAACATAATTCTCAGCCTTTTCTGGTTCTAACTCGAATAACTTGGCAGCAACTTTCTCTCCCATCTCCAGATTTTGATGGATTCTGCAGGAGCTGAGCAGAGAATTCCAAATCCCAACGTCAGGTTCCTCAGACATCTCTTCTTTAACAACCCTTAGAGCCTCGTCTAGTTGTCCAGCTCTGCCTAACATATCAATGACACAAGCATAATGCTTTAAACTTGGCTTTAGCCCACAAGAATGCTTCATCTCATCCAGATATCTCAGCCCTTCATGGATCAGACCACTGTGATTACACGCCGTTAGAACACCTAAGAATGTTAACTCATCAGGACTATGACCTGTTCTTTGCATCTCTTCAAAGAGTACCATAGCCTCTTTTGCTCGCCCATGTATTCCACATCCCATAATCACCGCATTCCATGAAGCTGCGCTTTTCTCCTTCAAACCATTAAAGGCCTTAAGTGAAAGTGCTACAGAACCATTCTTGGCATACATATCAATTGTAGAACAGGCGACAAACGCATCTTCCTCGAGAGAGCGCTTCAAAGCGTAAGCATGCGCTTCTCTCCCCAGCCGAAGAGAAGGTAGCAGAGAACACGCACCAAACACACTCATCATAGAAATCTCACAAGGTTGGATTCCATACAAAACCATTTCTCTAAAGAGAAACAAAGCTCTCTCAGGAAATCCGTTCTGAAGGTAACCGGAGATCACAGTGTTCCAAGATACTAAGCTTTTATCTTCCATTGCGTCAAACAACACCTGTGCAGTGAATAGCTCCCCACAGTGAATGTACAGCGAGAGTACTGAAATATAAACAAACAAATCTCTTTCTAACCGGTTTCGGACTATAAACCCATGCACTTCCTTTCCCAACCGCAGAGATTTTAGTTGAGAACAAGCTGAAAGAAGACTACTAACAGTAAACATATCAGGTAGCAATCCGGAGTTTTTCATCTGCAAATGAACATCCAAGGACAACCTAGGATCACCGCTCTGAGAATAGCCACCGATCAAAGCATTCCAAGAGTTCACTGTTTTACTCGCTATCCCACGAAACACACGCTCCGCATAACTCAGCGAGCCGCACTTTGCATAAGAAGCAACAAAGGCATTGGCTACTAACTCATCATGTACAAACTCTTGCTTTAAGGAGTAACAATGAAGTTCCTTCAAGCTCGGTAAGGCCGATTCATCGAAACAAACCGGCACTGCGTTTAGAATGGTTACCTCATCGACTTTGACGTCTTCGCCTCCTGCCAGCATCTGTCTCAGAAGATCAAAAGTTCCATGTATATCTGAAAAACCTCCTATCATTGTATTCCAAGAAACCACATTCTTGTTATTGTTCAACTTAAAGATGACTTGTGCTTCATTGATTAAACCACATTTAGAGTACATGTCCATTAAGGCATTGTTAACGACTAGTTCTTTGTCCAAACTCAGTTTCACAGCCAACCCGTGAACACTTTTTCCCGCCTTGATTTCTCTTTCTCTCGCACAAACCGGCAACAATGTAACAAGTGTAGCAACGTCCGGCATAAACGCACCATCATCATCATCATCCTCCATCATTTCTCCAAGAAGCAAGAAACTTTCTTCCGAGAAACCATTATCAGTAAACACTCGAATCATTGAATTCCACGAAACCAAGCTTCTCTCAGGCATTACTTCGAACAGTTTCAAGGCGTCGGAGACAAAACCATGTGTTCCATAGAACAACACCAATGCGTTACCCACGAAAACGTCCTTTACCAATCCGGTCTTTACTATCAACCCGTGAACCGCAAGCCCGATTCCAATATCAGAAATCGCAGAATAAGCCTTGATCACGCATGGGAAAGTGAAATTATCCGGTAAAAGATCAGTCTCTGAGATCATCTTGATAAACATCTCTAAAACCTCGTGGTAAAGCTCGTTTCTTGAGTAGGAGCTGATAACAGCATTCCACTGGAAGAGATTCTTCTTCCGAAAGGCGTCGAAAACAGAGCGAGAATCGTTAGGAGAGCCGCACATGGCGTACATGGTGATAATACGGGTGCAGAGGACGTCATCGTTCCTTAACCGGGTCGACCCAGAAACCAGCTGGTGGATTTTTCTCCCGATTCCAATGTCGTTTCTCCTCCCAGAAGCTTGTAAGAGAAGCCCGAGCGCTTCTCGGACAAGAACAAATGCGTCGGACGATTCCTTGTCGTCCCCAGCGAATTCCTCGACAACCCGAAAAGATTCTTGGAGGTTTCCGGTTTCACACAAACCGGAAATTCGACCAAGGAAGAAATGATGAGCATTGCCGGAATTGGAAGAAATGGCGTTAGAATTGTAGACAGCGCGAGGAAAGCTCGACTCTTTACGGCTCCGACAACAATCGAACAAAGTCGATAACTGTGGCAGTGGCAGTGGCAGCGGCAGCAGAACAGAAGCCATCAGATAAGCTTCCTTATCCGAACACGTGGTTAATATCTAACTGCCATAGAACTTGAGCCTTCGTTTCAAGTAAGAGTATGTTTCATTTCTTGTCTGAGAGGAATCACTCTTTCTACTAAAATAGACATCCAAAATTTACAAAAAAAAACTTGAAAAAGAAATGCATTGAATCAGAATATAATGTTCGAACAAATACTTCAGTATGTATTGATACAAACATTGTCTAACATTTCTTGATAGCTGAAAGTCTGAAACCAACAATTTATGCTCCAAGAAGAGCAGAAGAATCTGCTGATGCTGGACTTGCAAACTGCATCAATCAATCATCTAAACAGAGGATAACAACTAGCGTTCACTAAAAAGGTTCTTTAAGCTTTGACTTCTACTTGCTTAGGAACATTCTCAGCTGGTGGTACCAACAACACTAGACCCATTTTTCCATCGTTAGCTAAATGAGAATTCGGATTCTCCTTATACAACGGATTCGACGTCACAATCCGCACGCCAGAGTCTTTCCGGATTTCCAAAACCTCAGGCATTCCATCCGCACACCCCTTGGACATTCCCACATCAATCCTAATCGCTTTATTATCACAAACGCCATTGATACCAGCCTCCTGAATAGTATGTCCCATGATCATCCTCTTAACTCCAGGGATGGTGGAAAGAGCATGCTCAAGAGCCGAACAATCGCATTTGTGAGCCATCTCATCCGAGAATTTTCTCAACCAGACTACAGAGTTTCCACCTCTACAATAACCAGGCGCATATCTCCCACCTCTCAAGCCACTGATCCAACCTCTAACCTCCTCGTTTATCCTCTCGAGTCCATACTCTATGTGCTCAGCTAAAAGACCTCCGTGAACAAACACCGAATCGCCAACAACAGCAACCGTTAGATTCTTAGATAAGAACCTCTTTGCAATCGGACCTTCGGGTCTCAACGCAGCGATCCTAGCCCTGACTCCTTCAAAACAGTCCGGTCTAATACGAGGGAAGCTCATCGGAATCCCTTCGTATGGATCTTTAGGTTTATCCAAACCTCTGCACAAGCTCTTCATCTTGTTCCCTAGACAATACCAATCAAGCCAAACCTGGAATTCCTCTAAACCTTCCTTGTTGACATACCTAAAGTCACCTTCTACGTTCATGATCTCATGGTTCCCGTTCATAGTCAGAATCTTACCTCCTGATCTCTCGGCCTCTCGCTTCAGCTTCTCGAGGAAGTATAGTATCTTTAGCTCCTCTCCGCCTCGATCCAACACGTCTCCGACCTGAACAACCATCGCGGATCCACCGGTCCATCGGTCCGACGAATCGATCAGTCCGGCGATCCTGAATGCTTCCTTGGATTTTTCGAGATCTCCATGGAGATCCCCGATGGCAACCAGACGCTCTGGTTTCTCGAACCTTGTCTGCGGAATCTCATTTTGTGGAGTAGGATCTAGGGGCAAGAAGATGCCGCAGGCTGTGTAATCGACGAAAGCGTCGACGAAGGAGGAGATGAGATTTGGGATGTCTTTGCAGATTCCGCTCGGGTTTTCTCTGCTTGACATTTCCCGATATGTGTTTCGGGTTGACGAAATGACGAGCGACCTATTGTAAAAGTCATTTATTTAGGGTAGTCACGGAACTTTCTATTAGTTAAGCAATTAATATAACCAGAATATTGAATTATATCGAATTATGATTTTTTAAAAACATATATAATTAAGGCGGAGAGAGAAACTACCAAACTGAATAATCTAGTTCTGTCTGAATATCAAGTTGAAAAGTGTACTTCCCTCCATGTCATATCAATACTATTAAAACTGAGTCACAAAGGGTATTCCAGTCAGAAAATTTTCGGAAGAAAATTGATAAATTTACAAAAAAACCAATCAAATAACAAAGAAAAGGTGTTTGGATATAGGGATAAACAAGGAGTTTTTTGGAAGAAATTTTCGTCAGAAACTGAGTCGACTCAGTGGAGTTCGAGTTGACCCGACACAGTCCATTTAAAAACGCGCGGATCTAGAATCACTTATATCCAACCGGAAACAATCAGAGTTACAGTTCAGAGGTAAACCAAACGATAAACCGATATTGGAAAACAATAAAATCAATCATATCTTAGAAAAGGAAACTATTAAATTGGCCATGAAAATTATTTCATAATAGACGGAACCTAATAACTCGCAAGATATAACTAAAATACAAACAAGGAAGTACAATTTATATTCGAATCGGTTTGATCCCTAAAAATTTGCTACTTTAAAATTCAGAATCACTCACAAGAAGAAATTTGGTAAGATGTATCTTCTGATATCACAAATGGAATAGTTGAGATTAAAAAATACGTAATCATAGCTCATCAGGTATATTCCGAACTAAATGCTTCTAAACCTAATGAACAATACTTTCAACACTATAAATACAGGTTAAACTGTAGACGTTTGAGTACATACCTCGATATTTTCCAAGCAATAGAAAACAAAGAAGCATCATTGCTAATGCTCTTTTCTTTGCAGGAACGTGACCCCTTGCACCTATGAAAGCAATCAAAATTTTCAGGAAAAGAAAAAATAGATTTGGTTTTACATTTGTATTTGATAAAAGACTGGAGATGATTCTAGCAGATGCAATCGTTTTACGTTTTTTTTGCTTTATTAGATTACCTCTAACTCTTTTGTGGCTGTGTGTACTTGAATATAGGGTTTGACCGTACATTCTTCATGTTTTCCATTTTGGGGAAGATTTGGTGAACAAGTTCTTCAAGCTTGCCAAGAAGCAGGTGAAGTAATTGATAAATGTTTGATTAGGTTTGCAAAAATCGATTTTAATAGAGGTAAGCAATATACATTTTCTCGCAGTATTTACTACTTACAAAATTCCTAACTTAAAAATATTAGACAAGCATACCTATGATGTCTTTGTTAATTATGCAGGAGATCTGGAAGTAACCAATGCTACCATACTTTTGCTGTCAGGATAAAACAAGTGGGTAAGGTCTGGTCAGAAAATCAATGGGTATCGACTGAAAATGTGATATCATATATACAGATAATCCAGTAAACATCTCATCATCAACTATTTCTGTTGACGAGGTAAGTATTTTTTAAATCTGTTTTGAGAGTATATTTGACGTTTTAGGTAATATAAACGAAGAAGAAGTTGGAGATGTTCATGTGATCTACATCAAATAAGCTTTACACAATCAAAATCAAATTAGGGAAGACTATGGAGCAAGACTAAGGCATTGGAGGAGGAGACTAAGAAGAATAAGACAACTGAAGCTTTGTATGCGTTATTTGATTTCAAGGTTTTCGGCAAGTTTATTTTGATCTGAGATAGGGCTTATTAACGTTTTTCTATTGGAAATTCATATAAAACATTTCAGTACGTAAAGTATAACAATGTCTAACCTGTGAAAGAAGTAGAAGCATGAACCTTGCATACGAATGTTCCACCTGCACAGCTAAGTGAAAAGTCTTTTCTACGTTGTTGCTCAAAGGCCTTGATCCAAAAGATCCAAAACTTAATAATTAGACACTGTCTAAGCAACCATTAAAAACACCAAAATAGTGGTGTTTAAGCTACCGTCTCCAACACTGTTTTACGTTCAAACAATATTGTTCACCATGAGAGCTCTGAAAAAAGAAACCAAGTCTATTGCTGAAAAAAGAAACCAAGTAGTTTTTTAAGCTACTTCTCTAACATTCATAGAGCTACTTCTGAAGACTATTAAAAGAAACCAAGTCTAACATTGAATAAACCATGAAGAAAGCTACTATCAAACATTGTTCAGCATGAGAGCTTTGAAAAAACGAGTTAATAAGCTACATAACTTTAACCATAAAAGCACATAGAGGCTGTTAAAAACGAGTCTAAAATTCATAGAAATCTCAAATACAAGATAAACTAAGTTAATTAGATTCATTATTCTAAGCAGAAAAGCACATTGAAGCTCTCTAAAACGAGTTTAACATTCATAGAAATCCCAAATACATAATAAACTAACTTAGTGAGCTTCATGATTCTAAGAAGAAAAACGCATACAAACTATTAAACAATTAGTTTAACATTCAACAAACTACCGTCAAAGTATAAAAGAAACGAGTCTACGATTGAACAAACCATGAAACAAAGCTATTATCATACAATGTTTACCATGAGACAAAGCGAAGCTTACAAAGAATAGGATCCGGAGTAGCTAAATCATCAGATAAACTCCATTAATCATCATGTGGATACGGTAACTCATCTTTGCAGCTTACTAAGCATTGAAGATCCATCCAGTTCTACGGTTGCATCTCATTAAAAAAAATATATACAAAAAACAATAGCAATAGCCCAAGTGATAAACTATTGTAAGACATAACATTGAGACATTATTTAGAGATATCTTTATAAAAAGCTTACCACATAATTCCAGAACTCTATATTTTTTACTAGAGCTTTCTCGTGACCCTAATTTTCTGCCAAAAACAGTAGAAACATTATATTAGTCAACACTCAACAGCATAAACTCTGTTCAGATGGTTACAATGGACATTCATATATATAGCAAGACCAATCTTCTAATAATAATTTTAACGCCAATCAAACTGATTTACATATGCAAATGCTTAAATTCAACTATGGATCACAGCGATTGACATCGGTTTCACTTATGTTGTAAAAGAAGAAGGAACCAATCATAATACGAAGAAAGCAGCAAACCAATTTTTGATTCAACTCTCTGCTGCAAGCAAAGTAATGTATATACTACTTACCATAGGTAGGATTCACCATGATTCAACTCTCTGCTGCAAGCAAAGTAATGTAAAATGATCATTACTTTTAAGTGTGTTTCACATGTCTAATGTTCTACTTACGATCATGGCACGTAGGATTCAAGAAGATACGCACAACTCATACAAAGAAGGAAGAAAATAGAGTGTTTTGATCCCTTTTAGAAGAAGTGTCGAAGAAACATGATTTTTATATTTTAGACTTTTGTAATTCTTACATTCTGTAAACTAAAAAGCTAACAAAGTAATGTAAAATTATAATTATATTTCTAAGTTTGTTTACATGTTTAATGTTCTACTAACAATCATGGCATGTAGGTTCCAAGAAGATATGCAAAAGTCATATAAAAAAAGGAAGAATACAGAGTGACTCGATCCAAACAACGAAGAAGAAGTATTTCTATTTCCTGTAACTATAGGTAGGATCCACCATGATTCAACTCTCTGCTGCAAGCAAATAATGTAAAATGATCATATCTTACTAAGTGTGATTTACATGTCTAATATTCTACTTACGATCACGATCATGTTATGTAGGTTCCAAGAAGATATGCACAACTAGAGAAGGAAGAAGACGAAGTGATTCTTCACATTTGCACCCAAAAAAAAAAAGAGAAGTGATTCAATCCCTTTTAGAAAAAGTGTCGAAGAAACATGATTTTTATATTTTAAAATTTTGTAGTTCTAACTATAGGTAGGATCTACTATCATTCAACTTTCTGCTACAAGCTAGCAAAGTAATGTAAAATGAGAATTATCTTTCTAAGTGCGTTTTACATGTTTAATTTTCTACTTATGATCTTGGTATATAGACTGCAACAAGATCGTGGTATATAGATTGCAAGAAGATATGCAGTTTGGTGTATTGACTTTGTAATCCTAATTTGTTATCAATAAAATTGTTTGTTGTAGAATTAAAAATGATTAGCATCTATTTTGATTTTTTTTTTCTGCAGATGAATTTGTACTTCGTTGAAGGGAAATAGTAGTTCATCGACTTTCCTTTCTGAACATATTTTATTTTTAGTCCACATAAATTTTCCATTGAATTTCTTTTCTTAACATATCTTCAGCTACAAAATATCATAATAATATACGTTTTTGAAGTATTTTAGGAAAACAATTGTACTACATAAACTTATTATAAAACATAGGTGTTATATATTATAATATTATAGTATCGAATAGAGTAAAGTTTTGCACGAATTTGTTTTTTTTAAATAATAACTCATGTGCTGCCGACAACACGAGTCAGAACATACTTTTTGTTATTCAGTGATTTCTTTTAAACAACGGGTCAGAACATGTTTTTTTGTTCTTGACTGAAGAAAATAAAACCGTATAGGTAGGAACATATTTTGTGTATAGAAAAAAAATCATGAAATCAGAAAATCAATAATAATAAAAATTAAGATAGACAATAAAATACAAGAAAAAGTGTAACATATAAATCTCATGTGTCAACAACATATATCAAGATAAAAGACCATGTTTAATAAATATGAATAAAAAATGTCATCTTCTTTAATATAATGAAAATCAATAATTATTAATCTCATTAAAGAGAAAAATAACATACTTATTTTCTTTACAAAAATAAACAACAAATCCGTAATAAAGAAACATATGTTAATATGACAATATGTTGTCACACCAACATTTTAATCAAATATTATTTAAATATAATATCCAATATTAGAAACTTAATTTTTACAAATTTAATTAATTCAAAGGTTAACAACATCAAGGATTATAATCAACATTCTTTTAGATCTGAGTCTTTT